CCAGCAGCCCCAAGGAGAAAGAACAGTCTCAGAAAATCCCCAGGGGACGGCTAGGGTCAGCGGTGACTCAGTGGCCCTGAGTGTGACTTGGTCTGGTTTTGTTGTTTGCGCGTTGGACTGCTAAAGGAAAGGTTGGTGGTCCCAACCCACCCCGCTCCACAGAAGAGAGCTTGAGGCCGTGTCCCCCTTTAATGTTTTTAGCCCGGGTCCTACAGAGGGTCACATGAGTTGGCATCGACTCAGTGGGTAGTGGGTTTGAAGTTTTCCCTACCACACCGTGCATATTCAGTGCCCAGAAAGTCTTCAAAGGAGCTTTTGTTGTCTGTCGTTTTGTGGTGGTGGTCTTAGGTTTGTTTTGTTTCTAGTTTGCTGTAGCTTATTAAGGATTGAAAAACCAGTCAAGACCACAACTAACTTACTCTGAAAAGTTTTAATGAAGGATCTGCCAGGACTCCCATCTTAGGTCTCCTTATTTCCTCCTTTGAGGTAGCTAACCCTTTCCAAGTAGGTGGAGGCGTGCATTTGGAGTGATAAGAGAGAAATGCATGTTGTCATATCAAAGAGAAAAACAAAATTATAAAGACATTAAAACTCATTGACTGCTACCACCTAGCACGGAGCTATGGCCACGGCTCATGCTTTCTTCATGTGTGCTTTTTCATAGGACAACAAAAATAAGTTCTTTTTTGAATTAAATGATACACATTGATTTTTTTTTTTAACATTTTATTAGGGGCTCATACAACTGTTATCCCAATCCATACACACATCAATTGTGTAAAGCGCATTTGTACATCGTTTCTCAAAACATTTTCTCTCCATTTAAACCCCCGATATTAGGTCCTCATTTTTCCCCTCCCTCCCCGCTCCCCCCTCCCACATGAGCCCTGATAGTTTATAAATGGGTATTTTGTCACATTGATTTTTATAATCAAATATAATGCGCAAATTAAAAGCACATTTAAAATTCTCATAATCCCTCTAATCATTTTGTGTGTATATACACACACACATACTATGAGCAGTTAAAAACAGATTTCCTTTTTGGCGAAAATAGACAGAGCAAAACATAAGCCCATTCAACCGCTTGGGCATGTTGAGTACCTTCTCACCCTGTCGTCATTGTGTTCTCTTCTGGACCCGTTTGAGCTAGATACTCAGCATTTAGAAAAATAGATGTATTGGTATATACTTCATATTGCACAATTTAATCGTTCGGTCATGTTAAAGAGTTGTGCAATCAACACCACAATTGGTGTGAGGACATTTCTGGTGCTCGTTGTTAGCTCCCCATTCCTCCTCTTCCATGTCCCTAGGTAATAATTATTAATCCAGCTATTGTCTCGAGATTTACTTATCTTGGATTTTCATATACAGAAGAACATACAAAACACAAACGGAAGCAAGCAACAACAACCCCAAACCCACCAACAAATGAATAGACAACCCGTTAGAAAAACCTCAATTGAAAAGAAAGCAGAAGAGGAGCTGATACCAAGGAAGGGCTCAAGTAGAAAGCAAATGTTTTGAGAATGATGATGGCAACAAATGTACAAAAGTGCTTGGCACAATGGATGGATGTATGGATTGTGATAAGAATTGTATGAGCCCCCCAATAAAATGATTTAAAAAGGGGGGGGAGGGAAGAAAGCAGAAAATATTAAAAGCTGAAACAACTTTTAAATGGGCCAAAAGAGATCAAATGATAAGGTATTTATTACATTTTCACCTAACTGCATCTGCCGTGATCGACTTTGCCAGGCTCTCTGTCTGACCGCTAACAAGGCTGTTCACAACCCTGGATTGTGTTCTCTGAACATCTTTTAATGCTCAACATGGCACCATTCTAATGACTGCATTGTGGAGAGGTACAAAATCTTACCTTGATGTCTCCCTTACTTATTGTACGTGTTATTTCCGATGTACTTTTCTTAAACCCTTGTAAAACATAAGGAGTGGTTTTATGTTTGCCCAAATTTTCATTAGGTTCACCTTTACTTACTTATCTACATTCTAGCAACTTTCTGGGCTTTGGTTGCTTCTTTTTGGTGGGCCATTTCTTTGACTTTAAGGCTGTTGGGAATCTGGCCAATGATTCCTTCCCTCCAGCGTGCCCTTCCTGGCCTCCATCACCTGATGAACAGCCTTGAAGACAAACCAGTCTTTTCTGGAACACTCACCCAGTGACGGCCTTTACTGTTTTTCCAGCACACATTATATGGCCTGTCTTCCTTTTCCTGGTACTTGTGTGCTCAGGTGATCACCTCTGTGTTCCCAGTGCCAGCACAGGACCTGGGGCACAGCTACTGAAGAACGCATGTGACCTAGTCAGTAGCATTTAAAGATTAGGATCTCCATTCTAGGGCCCCTGCTTGCTCTGGCTCCAAAAACAGGAGTGGGAATACAATTTGGTTTTGTAAGTTAACTGACTTCCGTGCAATCTTGGTGCACACTAATGCTGGTATCAGTGTTCTGTATCAGAATAGATGCTGTGTTGAAATTTTCCATTAGGTGGGGGTGAAAAGGCAAGACAGCTGGAAAGGTAATTGGCTCTCCTTCCATTGTCTGAGCCTCCCATTTTTGGCATTGGGTTCACCATTTGGTTTTTCAGGTTGGTTCAGATTTGAACTCATCAGCTGGCCAGGCCTGAATGTTGACAGGAAATGCATACAGAAATGAAGCCAGCTGGGAAAATGAAAGAAATAGATAAACATGTTGGTTTTAAAAAAGAGAGCTAAAATGGTTTTTTGTTGTTGTTGTGGGAGTAACTGACACTGTAATACTAAGATCATTAAAAGACAGTAGATTTTTAAATTCTGATCTTTAGAGAGCTGTCTGGCATCTAGCACAGACTACCTTGATATTAATATGACATGTTTGTTTTTAAAATTAATACTTGCAGTTAGAGCTATGCTCTAATCCTTTAAAGTGATCTTTTGATTTAAGTGTATTTCTCACATTTGTGCAAACACTTAACAGTATTATTGACATCTAATTCTCATCGTACAATCCAGTACGTCATTCATATTAAGAAGAGTTGTACAATCATCACCACAACCAATTTTAGAACATTTACTTTTTTCTTGTAATCATTGCTATAAGCTTCCCCTTTTCCCCAGCCACCATTGCCATGCCCCAGGAAACCATTAACTCCCAGGTACTGTCTATAGATTTACCTATCTTGGATTTCATATACAGAAAAACATAGCAAAAAATTTTAACAATAACAAAGTAAAACAGAAAAATCTAAATAGTAAAGAAAGCAGAAAATGTTAAAAACTAGAGCAGATCTACAATGAGTCATAAGGGAGATCAAATGATAAGGTGTTAGATGCAACCTAACTACATCTGCAACGATCCACTTTACAATGCACTCTGCATGATAGCAAGGCTGTTCACATCCCTCGACTGGTCAGAGGGGGTTCACCAGAGGCTTAATTCATGTGGGAACTCTGCAAATGGATTTTGGGTCTCCACTGTCATCCATAACCTTTTGCAAACCAAGTGTTCGTGATTTAAAGCCTGGTACCATTTCCTTTTTTGCATTTGACTTTTATTGTTCACAATTCTTGGATCACACAGGCTGGTGAGCTTTCTTCCATGTGGATGGCTGCTTGTTTGAAGATAAGCCTTTGAGAACCCAGATGCTGTTCTGTGAAAACATTTTTTAATTGTGAAGCAAAAGGGAGTTCATCTGTAAAGATCAGTACCTTGAAGGACACTGGGGGCAGTGGAGTTGGTTTGTTCCATGGAACATTATTCATTTCATCTTTCCATTGTTATTGAAAGGGTAATATATATTCATTGTTGTTGTTTTTTTCCCATAGTAAAGCGTCCAAGACTGGTAGACAAAAGAAAGTCTCCTTCTTCCTGCAGACCTATGGTCCATTCAGCTAGGAAAGGCCATTGTTGCTGGTTATTGCTTATTTTAAATACTGCACCTTGCTTTTATGGCTTAGTAACGCTGATTCCACATTACCACGTATGATTGTTCCTGGTTCCTTTAGATGGCAGCAAGTGTTCCACTGTGGGATGTAAGATTTATTCCATCTCCTAGAAGCCCTGTGGCTTTGGGTTACAAGCTGGGCTGCCAGTGTCGTTCGAAATCACCAGAGGCTCCACAATAGAAAGACGGGCCTTTTACTCCCAGAAAGAGCGACACTCTCAGAAACTCATGGGCAATTTTAACCTGTCCTGCACGGTTGCTATAAGTTGACCTTGACTCAATGGCAGAAAGCTTGGGTTTTTTAGACTACCCACAGTTGTCTAGATTGGTTCTGGCATTTGCTGTTGCGAGTATCCTCAGACACGTATCTTTGTACATGTATGCAAATATGTGTTGGATAAGTTCTTAGAAGCATGACTGCTTAGAAGCATATTGGAAAGTATTGTGATGAGCTGTACGAGCCCTTAATAAAATGAGTTTTTAAAAAGAAAGTATTTAATGGGTGAGGGGAGGGGCCAGGCCTGTTCATTTATAAAACATTACTGTGTATTGCCTCAGTTAGAGGTATGGAATCTTTGCAAGTTCTCCTGTTTCTCCAGAGAACTGAGATCAACTGATTTTCATATTCAGAGTTAACCGACAGGATGTATTTTACATGCTCACATTAGTGATCAGATCCTCAAAGTGCAGTTTAAACTGGTTGAAATCAAGTACTAATTAGTATGCAGAAGCATAGTTTTTTTTTCTACACAGAGTAGCAGGGGGGCGTCATTGTCCCTAGGTTATTCTTGTGTAAAAACATTAAGGGCTCTTCTTCCTTTGAAAATGAACATTTGTTGGTTTGTTTTTTAATTGGCATTTGGGAATGGTTCTTTAAAAAAAAAAAAATAAAGGTTTGCTACCAGGTGAGTGAAAACAGTAATTGGAAACAGGATTTGGGATTTTCCTCCCTTGCTAAACTCCTTGAAGGGATGCTTGGCCCCCTTCCAAAAAATTAAAGTGAAAAATTCCTGTATGAGGTTGTCAAATTCTCATGCTGTATATTTTCTTTCAGATTCCTTTGTTTCTTCCTCTTCCTCTCAGCCTGTATCTCTATTTTCGACCTCACAAGGCAAGTCTGTCATTTTTTTTGTGCATTAATTAAAGAAAAATGTTGAGAAAGAGGCTGTAACTGGGAATACGAGGCACACATTTCCTATTGCCCTGCCAGATCCCTTAGAGTGAAACTGATGACAAGCAGTCCTTTCTGTTCCCCATTTCCGATGGATATCTTGTACAAGTTGAGAGTAGAACAAAGCTGAGTGGACCCTGGACATAGCAGAAGCTTGATGTTCAGTGTTTCATAAAAATCACCTACAGAATTTGGAGCAGATAAAATTGTACCTTTGAAAATATGTCACCGCCACCTCCACCACCCCCACCACCCCCCCAACATGCACTTGACGTATTGATTTGTGATTATATACTTGTTTTGGAGAGAGAATGGCTTTGAAAAAGCAGTTATAAAATGTGCCTCCACTGATTTACTAAAATACTCGCCAAACTAGCTAGAGTCACTTCCCACCAGCTGGGCTAGTTCCAAATTGCCTGGGAACATTCAGCAAGTCTGTTGACTTTCTGGCCAGCAAGGCCTGGTTGTCCTAGACTAGAGATTAAGTTGTGGCTTTGTTCTGTTGTGGCTCTAGATTTGCCAGCCAGTGAGGAAGGGAATCTCTTATAGCTCAGTGTGTCTGGAGAACTGAGTGCTTCCCTGGTTAGCATTAATGATGAAGTGCTACTGTGCTGCTCTGGACCCCGAAGACAGGTTAATTAGGGAAGCCCTTACCCCAAATGTCCTTTAAGTCACTAAGTAGAGCTAAGAAACTCCACGGGACCAGTTTGCAGTCCCAGCTGCCATCCTGAAGATGCAAAAGCTGAAGCTGGTGTTGCCGAGACTCTGACCTTATAAGGACGAGAACTGAGTGGGATAAAAGAATCCTAGTAAAACTTGTGGTTGGAAGGAGCAGGATGGACAATTTGTTGTTTTTAGTTTAGACTGATAGACACTGGGGGACCCTTCCCTAAGTTTGTGAATTTGGATACCATGTGGGTCTGAGCTGACTTGAAATTTACCTGTTTACTTTAAAAGAGAATTACCTTGTGAATATCAGAAAATAATTCGAACATACATAGGGCCTCTATTTTTGACATCGGGAATTAGGCTAGATTTCCATTTTGAATGTTTTTCAAATAAGAAATTTAATGATAGAAGATAAATTGGATTTTTAAAAATCCATAGTGTAAATAAAACATCATTATAATTTCTCTATTTAGGTACTTAAAGTCTAACTAATTCATCAAGTCACTTTTCCCTCCCAAATATAAGGAGGCTAAATCCTAGAGTGTATGTAACAAACAACTCACAGACCTAAGGAAATCTTGAGAAGATAATTGTCATGGCTTAAAATTTTATTTTAATCCCTGGTAAGGAAAAAGCATATATACACTGGGCAGAATGGAGATAATTGGCCTTTTCTCACTAAAAACTAATGTGTACAAAACCAGCTACTAAGTGGGCTTCTTTTTCACAGTGTGTATATAATAGTGTGTAGAAGAACATACATTTCTCTGTCATTCAGCCTTATTGGTTAGTGTGATTGGGAAAAGCGC